CATGAGCTCATGTGTGAGGCCAAACAGTGACAAGGTCAGGAATGGAGGAATGGAGTGGACCTCAGTGAGGTCATCCAGATCTCTAGCTGTTCCTGCCTGCTTCTTTCTGCCTCTAATGAACAGCCCTGTCTCATTCCTCTCCAATGTATTTGTGGTTTCTTTGGGGAGGTGGAGAGGGGTGAGGGGTGATTTTTAAAATACTGCTTTCTTTTCTTTAATGGGCACTGATGTATTTAGTTTCTTCTTCTTGAGTAAACGTTTAAAATTAATTAATTAAGTTCTTAATTTTATTTTGGCTGCATTGGGTCTTAGTTGAGGCATGTGGGATCTTCACTGTGGCATGCGGGATCTTTAGTTGTGGTATGTGGACTTCTTAGTTGTGGCATTCGGACTCTTAGTTGCGGCATGCATGCGGGATCTAGTTCACCAACGAGGGATCGCATCCGGGCCCCCTGCATTGGGAGCATGGAGTCTTACCCACTGGACCACCAGGAAAGTCCTCTTCTTGAGTAAACTTTAATCATCTCTATTTTTCTAGAAATTCTCTATTTCATGTCTTCATATATAGTGGCATAAAGTTGCTCACAGTATTGTCTTATGATTCTTAAATCTTCTGCTATATCTGTAGTTTCATTCTCCTTTCATTCTTTTTTGCGGTACGCAGGCCTCTCACTGCCGCGGCCTCTCCCGTCGCGGAGCACAGGCTCTGGACGCGCAGGCTCAGCGGCCATGGCTCACGGGCCCAGCTGCTCCGTGGCATGTGGGATCTTCCCGGACCGGGGCACGAACCCACATCCCCTGCATTGGCAGGCGGACTCCCAACCACTGCACCACCAGGGAAGCCCCTCCTTTCATTCTTAATATTGGATATTTGTGCCTTTTTCCTTCTTTCCTTGATTAATCTTGCCAGATGTTTTATTGTCTTTCAAAAGAAACAACTTCTAGCTTTGTTGATCATTCTTGTGATTGTTGATTTCCTTTTCATTTATGCTCTTATCTCTACTGTTTACTTCCTTCAACAGTTTTTTAGATAGTTGAAAGCTTTAGATAGTTGAAAGCTTTACTCATTATGTTTAAGTCATTCTTGTTTTAGAGTAAAGGCACTTAAGACTATATATTTCTCTACAAACATCATTTTAGTTCCATTCCACAAGTCTTGTTTTGTATCTATCTCTTTATCCTCAGTACCAGATATTTCAGCATTCCCATTGTGATTTCTGTTGATGTCTTCAAGGGAGCTCAGAAAACAACTTCCCTTTCCTCTCCTGGACTCCTGGATTTTGAACTGAGAGACAAGACAAAGAGTGGGAGGAGGTATCTTTTTTTTTTTTTTTAACTGATAAAGATAAGGTTGGAGTATAAGGATGAGGGTAGATGTGACAGCCAAATGGGTTTCCTAATACTGAAAATGGGGACTTGGCAACCTTAACCCCTGGTCACTGTGATGCTGTGGGTGGTGGATGGGGGACAGACAATGTCCACTGCCTGTAGGCAGCTCACTCCCAAGGAAGAGAAAGGAAGTTGGTAAATCAAGTAAGCCCATCTTATGTTCCCCGCATTGACCAGCTATGTCACTCTTCCTCCCCTGGGCAGAGAGAGGCTGGGAGTGCTACACTAATTTGGTTCCCTCCACAGAGGAGGAAACATCAGGACTGGAAAGAAATGTTCCTACAACAAGTGTGCTTTTTAGTTTTCAAAGTTACAGCAGTTGTTAATCTGCCTTTGTTGTTGTTGTTGACTTCTAATTTTGCTGCATTGTGGGTAGAGAATGTGGTCTGCTTTACATCCACTTCAAAAGTTGTTCAGGCTTTCATGTGTGACCCAACACAAGGACAATTTTTTATAAATGTTCATGTGTTCATGACAACCATGAACCCATTCCTTTTGTGAATTCCTCAGTTTTTCAAACTAATTCTTCCATTTTGTGCTTTACTTATTTCAAGGCTAGTAGTTAGGTACAAAAAGCTTATTATTGGTGGGTATTTTTGGTGATTTGTTACTTTCATTATCCTATAGTGTCTCTCTTTATCTCCTTTAATATTTCATGGCCTTAGGTGTATTTTGCTTGATATTAATATTCTATGTCAGATTTCTTTTGGTTACTATTTGCCTGGTATATCTTTTCCCATTATTTTATTTTCAGCCTTTCCCTTTTCTGTTGCTTTAGAGTGTTCCTTCTAACCAGCATGCTATTGTATTTTGTTTTGTTTGTTTTGATCCAATATGACATTCCCTGTCTTTAAAGAGACAAATGAAATCAATTTACACTTGTAAAGACTGTTGATATATTTAGACTTACTTCTACCATTTTATTTTGTTGTTCTCTTTAAAATTTTTTAAATTATTATTTCTCATGTTCTATCATCTCTTAAATTTACAGTTTTCTTTATTCTCCTTTTTTCTTTGATAGTTTTGAAACTATAGATGTCTTTCTGTTGTTTAACTGGTTGCCCTTAAATTTTTAACATTGATACCCAGATATATATTTTCCCAACAATGTCCAAAGCAGTGCTGTCCAATAGAAATACAATGAGTCACATGTATTATTTAAAATGTTCTAGTAGCCACATTAAAAAAACAGGTGAAATTAATTTTAATAATATGCTTTATTTAACATAATATGTCAAAAAGAGTATTTCAAAATGTAGTCAATATGAGATTATTAATATTTTATATATTTTATTTTTTTAAAATATTTTATAAATATTTTATATTTATATATTTTATATTTTATTTTATATTTATAGTTTATATTTTCTGTGCTAAATCTTGAACTCTGGTATGTATTTTACACTTAACAGCACATCTCATTTTGGACCAGCCACACTTCAAGTACTCAACTGCCGCATGTGGCTGTGTCTGCTGTATTAGACAGCACGTGTCCTATATAATCTACATATAATACTTACACAATTTTGATGAGTTTTGAAAAGTGAATATACCCATGCAACCACCACCAGAATGAAGATAGCAAACATCTGATTTTTGCTTTCTTTCCCTCTAGATGAGTTTTGCCTTTCCCCCAATTTCATATAATTGGACTCCTAAGGTATGTGCTATTTTATATCTGGCTTCTTTCACTTAATGTAATTTACTCGTGTCAGTAGTTTGTTACTTTGTTCATTGCAAAGTTGTCTTCTGTTGTGTGGATATATCACCATTTGTCTCTCCATTCACCTGTTGGAAGACATTTGGTTTGTTTCTAGGTTGGGGCTGTCATGAATAAGGCTGCCATTAACATTTGTGTACAAGTCTTTGTGTGGACATATGTTTTCATTTGTCTTGGGTAAATACATACCTAGGAGTGGACTGGCTGAGTTGTATGGTAGGTGTATGTTTAACTTTATAAGAAACTGTCAGTTTTCCAAAGTGGTTGTGTCACTTTAAGTCCCTCAGTACTGTCTGAAGGTCCCACTGCTCCACATCCTCCACAACACTCGGTATGACTAGTGATATTCAGCATAGTTTCACGTGGATGAAAAACATGCACATCTTCGTATGGGTGAAATAATGTACCATGAAAAATTCATATATCTTCTTTTGGGAAGTATCTGTTCAATTTTTTGCCTGTTTATTTTTTTATTTTTTTGCAGTACGCGGGCCTCTCACTGCCGTGGCCTCTCCCGTTGTGGAGCACAGGCTCCGGAAGCACAGGCTCAGCGGCCGTGGCTCACGGGCCCAGCCGCTCCGCGGCATGTGGGATCTTCCCAGACCGGGGCACGAACCCGCGTCCCCTGCATCAGCAGGCGGACTCTCAACCACTGCGCCACCAGGGAAGCCCCTCTTGCCTGTTTTTAATTGGGCTATTTCCCTTTTTCTTATTGAGTTGTGGCAGTTCTTTAAATATTTTGTATATTAGTCTTTTATCAGTTATTTGTATTGTGAATATTTTCTCCCAATCTGGGGTTTGTCTTTTCATTTTCTCAGTGGTGTCTTTTGAAGGGCAAAAGTGTTTTTTTTACCACTGATGAAGCCAAATTTATCCATTTTTTCCCCTCTTGTACCCTCTTTCCCCAGCTTGTACTCTCATGTTTTTAAGATATCTTTGCAGACCCTGAGGTTGAGAAGATCTTCTCCTGTGTTTTCTTCTAGCAGTTTCATTGCTGTACCTTTTATATTTAGATTTGTGATCTATTTCAATTTAGTGTTTGTGTCAGGTGTGAAGTAAGAGTTGCGGTTCATTATTTTTCCAAGTGGATATCCAGCAATTCCAGCACCAGCTGTTAGAAAGCTATCTTCTGTGTTGTGTTACTCTGGCGCCTTTGCTGAAATCAATCAACAGTGAATGTATGGGTCTATTTCTGGATTCTTTCTTCTGTTCCATTGATCTACTTGTCCTTAGGCCAACCTCTCATTGTCCTGATGACTGTAGCATAATAGTAAGTCTTGAAATCAATTCCTTGTTATTTTTGTCTGGAATTTCAATTCTACCTTTTTTTTTTAACAGGTGGGTAGTGTATAGGTTTACAGCATACGTACTCAACCTGGTTTGATATCTCTTAGCATATCAGTCTAACTCCTAACGTTGTCACTTGTTTGCATCTTTGTGGAAGTCAATCTTTACTTCCTATGTTCCAGATGGAACCTCTTGATTTTACATGGGGATTTCACTCTTTTGCAGACGCTTGACACTGAGTATCATTTTGCAAACTGCGCACACTATCACTTTAAAAAAATCTCCCTTGCAGCCTTTTTTTGCTTGGACATATTTCCTTCTTGATTTAATCATACTCTTTTAGGGTAAAAATTTAATTAGGATTATATAGTTTTTATAATCAATGGTTGTGGTGGAGTTGCTGGTTGTCCCACAATATCTGATCTGTCCATTTGCAGAGTAAAAGAATTTTTATCTGGGCAGATGGCTGTCTTGCTAAGGACTACATTTCCCAGCCTCCCTTGGAGCTAGCTGTCGCCAATGAGATGCAAGTGGGAGGGATATATAAGCAAATCACCGTTCCTGCTCTTTAAAGGAAACTGTGTTTGCCCTTTCCCTGTTTCTGCTAATGAGAAGGTAGATGCAGTGGAGAGGGAGGAGAGCAACACCACAGGTACCATAAAGGAACAAAACATAAGGAGCCTGAGGCCCTGACACCTTGAAGCTGTTATATGAGCTAGTTATGCCCAGGCTGTACTGAGAAATAATTTCTATCTTTGTGAGCCCCTAGAATTTTGGATCTCAGTCAGATCAGCCAAACCTATATCCTAATATAATAATTAGATTTACCAATATCATTTAGTAACTTATTTGTTCATCATTGCCTCTTGATACTCCTTCCTTTTTGGTTTCTATTTTTTTAAAATAAATTTATTTATTATTTATTTATTTATTTATAGCTTCATTGGGTCTTCTTTGCTGCACACAGGCTTTCTCTCTAGTTGCGACGAGCAGGGACCACTCTTCATTGCGGTGCATGGGCTTCTCATTGCGGTGGCTTCTCTTTGTTGCAGAGCTCTAGGTGCACGGGCTTCAGTAGTTGTGGCATGCGGGTTCGGGAGTTGTGGCTTGTGGACGCTAGAGTGTAGGCTCAGTAGTTGTGGCACACGGGCTTAGTTGCTCCACAGCATGTGCTGTCTTCCCAGACCAGGGCTCAAACCCATGTCCCCTGCATTGGCAGGTGGATTCTTAACCACTGAGCCACCAGGGAAGTCCCAGGTTTCTATTTTTTAATTTATTTATTCATTTATTTGGTTGCACCAGGTCTTAGTTGCAGCAGGCAGGCTCTTTAGTTGCTGTTCACTGGCTCCTTAGTTGCAGCAGTGGGCTCCTTAGTTGTGGCATGCAAACTCTTAGTTGTGGCAAGCATGTGGGATCTAGCTCCTTGACCAGGGATCGAACCCAGGCCCCCTGCGTTGGGAGTGCGTAGTCTTATCCACTGCACCACCAGAGGAGTCCCCAGTCTCTATTTCTTCTTGGTAGAGAACATCTCTTAGGAGTTTTTTCATCAAAAGTTTGGGGGATGAAAAATTCTTGGTTTTTGTAAGTTTGAAGATGTTTTCATTTTGTTTAGTGATAGTTTAGCTAGGTATATTATTCTGTTAGTAATTAATTTCCCTCAATACCCGGAATACCTGAAGGTATTATTGCATTGTTTTCTTATCTCTTTTGTTGTTGAGAATTCTCATTTCAGTTTATTTATCATTTCTTTGTGAGCAACCTTTTTTCACCTTCAGGGTTGCTTTTAAGATTTTTCTCTTCATCTTTGATATTGTGAATGTATCTAGGTGGAATTTTAATTTTTATTTATTTAGCGTGGCATTTGTTGGGCTTCTTTATTTTGAGAACACACATCTTTTTTCACTTCTAGAAAATTCTCAGCTATTATCTCTTTGAATATTGCTCTCTTGTAATTCCTTCTACATCATACTTATGGAAATTTCTGTGATATTTATTCTTGATCTTCTAATGTTATTTTCTATTTCTCTTAACTTCTCTCTCATATTTTCCATCACTTTTTCTATATTGCCTTCTAAATGAATTCTTCAGTGCAATCTTTCTATTACCCAGCTCTCTCTTCATCTAGTTTACAGTTTATTCCATCTTTTGAGCTGTTATGTCAATGATTATAATTTTTTATATCCATTTGTTCTTGATTCATATCTGTTTTATATCATGTTTTTTGTTGTTACTTTCCTTGTCTCTTTCTGAAGCTTGAGCATGTTTATTTAAAAGCATTTCTAAGAAGGGTTCATTCTTTGAACTTTAACAGTAGTGAATTCATCTCCTGATTGAACTTGGAAGTGGATTCATCCCCAGTCAAGCCTCCAGATAAAAACACAGCCTAGTTGACACTTTGCAGCCATGTGAGACCTTAGTCAAAGGAAGAAGCTAACCTCTGCCTGGACTTTTGACCCACAGAAACCATGTGAAAATAAAGTGTGTTGTTTTAACTCATTAGATTTGAGATAATTTGCTTGAAGATTAGAGGACTAATTATACATGTCCCTATATTTGAGTTATAGCTTATGAAGTTCTGTCTTTAGTATGAGTGAAGCTCTTGGAACTTATGTACACTGAATGGGGTAGTCCACCAAAATGTGAACAGTGGTTATACATGGATGAGAGACCATGGGTTATTTTTATTCTCCTCTATACTTTTTAGTATACCAAGTTTTAAAATATGATATCTATCTAAAACAGCCAAAACTATTTGCTTAAAGTAAACATTTTGTTAAAGAATAATAACATAGAGAAAATGGTGCAGATCTTAAATGTTCAGTTTGGTGAATTTTTACAAAGTGAACACATCTATGTAATCACCATCGAGGACAAGAATTAGAATATTAGCATCCTAGAAGCCTCTCCTCTTGTTTCTTCAGTCGTTAACTCCAAAAAGATAATCATGAATTTGACTTTTATCACCAGAGGTAAGTTTTGCTTGTTTTTGAACCTTTTATAAGTGGAATCATTGAGTATATTTATTTGTTTCTGACTTATATCATTGAACATTGTGTTTGTGAAGTTCATAATGTTGTCCTGTGTAGTGATAATTCAATCATTTTTAATGTTTTTTAGTATTCTGTTGTGTGGTTATATCAAACTTAACTATATTATACCACTGATGGATATTTAGGTAGTTTCCAGTTTGGGATTTGCTATGGACTGAATGTTTGTGTACTCTCAAAGTCCATATGTTGGAATCTTAACCCCAATATGGTGGTATTGGGAGAGGGTCTATGTGAGATGATTAGCCCATGAGGGTGGAGCCCTCATGAATGGGATTAGTACCCTTATAAAAGGGACCCCAGAGAGCTCGCTCACTCTCTTTCTGCCAAGTGAGGATATAAGAAAAGTCAGCAGTCTGCAACCTGGAAGAGGCTTCTCACCAGAAGCCAATCATGCTGACACCGTGATCTTCAACTTCCAGCCTCCAGAACTGTGAGAAATAAAAATGTCTGTTGTTTGTTAACCACTCAGTCTATGGTATTCTGTTACAGCAGCCTGAACTGACTAAGACAGGGCTATTATGAATAAAACTGCCATGAACATTTGTAGGCATGTCTTTTGTTAAATATATGTATGCATTTTTTTGTTGACTATATACCTAGGATGTATATACATACATTCAGCTTTAGTAGATAGTGCTTTTGTTTTCAAAGTGTTTATGCCAATTTTTTCTCCAACCAGCAGAATATGAGCATTTCACTTGCCCTGCATCCTTGCCAACACTTGGCTTTATCAATTAAAAATTTTTAATTTAGTGTGTACGAAGGTATCTCATAGTGGTTTGACTTGCATTTTCTTTTTTTTTTTTTTTTTTTTTTTTGCATTTTCTTGATAATTAATGATGTTGGGCACCTTTTCAGATATTCATTGGTTATCTGGATATCCTCTTTTTTGATGCCCCTATACAAGTCTTTTGCCCATTTTCTAAATGAAGTTGTCTTTTTCACATTACTTTGTGGGAACTCATCATATATTCTGGACATGAGTTCCTTTGTTGGAAATATGTATTGCAAATATCTTATTCCACTCTAATTTACATTTTTGTTCTGTTGATGGTTTTTGTGTGGTGTGTGAACAAAACTCCTTATGCCAATGAAGTCTAATTTGTTGATTATTTTTTAAAGACTAGAACTCTTTGTGTCCTACTTAAGAAATATTTTCTTAGCCCACGATCTATTTCCAATTCTCTTATGTTTTCTTAAAGGTTTATTGTTTTATCTTTTACATTTAGGTCTATTGTCCAACAGAAATTTATTTCTACACATGGTGTGGCAGGGGTCAAGATTCCTTTTTTTCCTATATGGATATCCAGTTGACTCAGTACCATTTACTAAAAAGAGCTACCTTTCTCCCATTGCATTGTAGGGACATCTTTGTCACAAAGCAAGTGACTAAATATGTATGGGTCTCTATATGCACTCTTTATTCTGTTCTGTGGTTCTGTGGGCCTTTTTTTCTATCCTTGCTAATATCACACCATCGATTTCTTCAAATTTATAATTCTTGATGGTGTAAGTCTTTAATTTTGTACTTCTTCAATGTTGTATTGGCTCTTATTGTCCCTTTTATTTCTTTTTTTTTAATTTCTTTTTTATTTTTATTTTTTGCTGCGTTGGGTCTTCATTGCTGCTCAAGGGCTTTCTCTAGTTGCTGCAGGCAGGGGCTACTCTTCATTGTGGTGTGCGGCCTTCTCATTGCGGTGGCTTCTCTTGTGGCAGAGCATGGGCTGTAGGCGCATTGGCCTCAGTAGTTGTGGTGCACAGGCTCAGTAGTTGTGGCTCGTGGGTTCTAGAGCACAGGCTCAGTAGTTGTGGTGCACAGTAGTTGCTCCGCAGCATGTGGGATCTTCCTGGGCCAGGGCTTGAACCGTGTTCCCTGCAATGGCAGGCGGACTCTTAACCACTGAACCACCAGGGAAGCCCAGCCCTTTTATTTCTATTATATTTTGGAATCAACTTGTAAATTTCCACAAATATTTGCTGAAATGTTGGTTGGAATTACATTGAATCTATGGATCAATTTGAGGAGAATTATATTCTTTCCAATATTGAATCTTTTGATCCATGAACATAGTATATCTTTTTAGGTCATTAATTTTTCACAGTAATGATTTGCAGTTTCATGTATAGAGATCTTGTCTATCGTTTTCCCCTAGGTACTTGATGTTTTCTGATAGTATTGTAAATGGTATCATTGTTTATTTTTCATCTTGTAGTTGTTTATTGCTAGTATATAGAAAGGCAATTGATTTTTTTTTTTTTTTTTTTTGCGGTACGCGGGCGTCTCACCGCCGCGGCCCCTCCCGTTGCGGAGCACAGGCTCCGGATGCGCAGGCCCAGCAGCCATGGCCCACGGGCCCAGCCGCTCCAAGGCATGTGGGATCTTCCCAGACCGGGGCACGAACCCGTGTCTCCTGCATAGGCAGGTGAACTCTCAACCACTGCGCCACCAGGGAAGCCCGGCAATTGATTTTTTTGATGTTGACATTTTAGCCAGGGACTTTGCTAAATTCACTTATTAAATCTAATCATTTATTTTTTAATTCTTGTGGGTCTTCTATGTATACAGTCAGGTTGTCTATGAATAGTAACAGTTTGTTCTTTCTTTCCAGTTGTTATGCTTTAAATTTTTTTATTGCTTTATCCCACGGAATAGGATCTCATGTTGTCTGTGAATAGTAACAGTTTGTTCATGTTGTCTGTGAATAGTAACAGTTTGTTCTTTCTTTCCAGTTGTTATACTTAAAATTTTTTTATTGCTTTATTGCACTGAATAGGATCTCCTCTACAATATTGAATAGAAGTGGTGATAGTGAACAGCCTTATCTTCTTCCTAACCTCTGGAGGAAAATTTTCAATATTTTGCAATTAAGTATGATGTTTGCTGTACTTTATGGTAGATATTTTATTAGATTAAGGAAATTTCCGGTCTTCTAGTTATTAAGAATTTTTATTCTGAATGAATATTAAATTTTATTGAATGCTTTTTATGCATCTACTGAGATGGTCATATGATTCTGATTCTTTATTTTGTTAATATTGTGAATTATGTTGACTTTTTAAAAATTTTTTTTTTTTTTGCGGTACGTGGGCCTCTCACTGTTGTGGCGTCTCCCATTGTGGAGCACAGGCTCCGGACGCGCAGGCCCAGCGGCCAAGGCTCACGGGCCCAGCCGCTCCGCAGCATGTGGGATCCTCCCGGACTGGGGCACGAACCCATGTCCCCTGCATCGGCAAGTGGACTCTCAACCACTGCGCCACCAGGGAAGCCCTAAAAAGATTTTATAATTGTTAAATCACCCTTGCTTCCTGGAATGAATCCCCGTAGATCATGGTATGTTATTGACAGCACTTGATAATTTTTTTTTAATTTAGCCTTTTTAATTGGTGTGTAATGGTATCCCATGTGGTTTTTTTTTTTAATTAATTAATTTTATTTTATTTTTGGCTGCGTTGGGTCTTTGTTGATGCACGAGGGCTTTCCTGTGGTTGTAGCGAGGGGGGCTACTCTTCATTGCTACACGCAGGCTTCTCATTGCGGTGGCTTCTCTTGTTGCAGAGCATGGGCTCTAGGCGTGCGGGCTTCAGTAGTTGCAGCATACGGGCTCAGTAGTTATGGCTCACAGGGTCTAGAGTGCAGGCTCAGTAGTTGCGGTGCACCAGTTTAGTTGCTCTGCAGCATGTGGGATCTTCCTGGACCAGGGCTCAAACCTGTGTCCCCTGCATTGGCAGGCGGATTCTTAACCACTGCACCACGAGGGAAGCCCCCTTGTGGTTTTAATATGAACTTCCCTAGTGACTAGAGAATGAAATTGAGCATCTTTTCATCTACTTATTTACCATTCATATATCTTCTTTTGTGAAGTGACTGCTTAAATCTTTTGCCCATTTGAAGTATTGCCTTTTTATTGAGTTTTGAGAGTTCTTCACATATCCTGGTTGAGTTTTTGTTGGCTATGAGATTTGCAAATATTTTCTCTCAATCTGCAGTTTATCTTTCATTCTCTTTTTTTTTTAAGTTATTTTTATTTATTTATTTAGGCTGTGCTGGGTCATTTTGGTTGCAGCACACGGGATCTTCATTGTGGCATGTGGGATCTTTAGTTGCGGCATGCGGACTTCTTAGCTGCAGCATGCAAACTCTTAGTTGCAGCAGGCATGCAGGATCTAGTTCCCTGACCAGGGATTGAACCTGGGCCCCCTGCATTGGGAGCACAGAGTCTTACCCACTGGACCACCGTGGAAGTCCCTATCTTTCATTCTCTTAACAGTGCCTTTTACAGAAGCAAAATTTAAAATTTTTGATATAACATAATTTATCAATTTTTTCTGTTATATGCCATGCTTTTGGTGTTATACCTAAGAATGGTTTGGTTATTCCAAAGTCACAAAGACTTTTCCCCCATATTTTCTTTTAAAAGTTTTATTATTTTACTGTTATCATTTGGG